AAAAAAAAAAAAAAAAAAAAAAAAAAAAAAAAACTCCCTTTGCACAAACTTACTTCCCCCGACCGATCTTATCCCTTTGCCGCTTTAATGGGATGGCTGGCACGCAGTGCGGCCCCCATGTCCCCAGTAAACACATAAATATATACATCACAGGGGTAATATCCCCCCAGTGTAAGTATGTCACCCCCCCGGGTTTACCGTTGCGTGCAGGTTTGCCCAGGGCTATATTAAGGCTTACACGTCGCCAATTCGAGATTGTGATAAGGTGCCACAGGTTGTGCTTGAACTGGTCTCCAATCCAAGTAGCTACGGACGCTCGCTTTTCAGTTTACCCCTTTGACAAAATTGGCATTTTTTTTCAAAAACCCAATTTCGTTGATCGATTAACAACTTGACCATTCCACTATTGGCGTTCTCTCTCCTCACCCCCTCGATGGGCTTATTTGTCCGCGCTTGCGCTTCGAGGCTTCTTTTGTTTTTTTTACATACGAGAAAGGAACTATGTGTTGCAACCTCTCGCAGGGGGCAACAACTTGTGCAAACTGTGATTGTCAACGAGAGGGAGAAGACTAAAAAAGTGCCCCCCCCTTTATGGTACATGACCAATGAAATTACTGACAAAAGGAAAATCACCCTGTTGGTGCTATTTTGTGCATGCTTTATGGACAAGTCCATCCCTTCATTTAGTGACTAAGATGTGAGTTATGGGTCTCAGTGGAACAAATGGAAGCCGAAATTATAAGAGAAAAAAAAAAAACATAATTAATTAATAAAGGGAACGTCTAACATTATGCAGTTCCACGGGGTTCTCTTTTTACTTCTGCTACCTCATGACGTACCGCCGCTGAAACTCCGACATGACCAACTCAAAGAGGAGCCTCGTTATCTTGGAGAACGAGTACAGGTCTTCCGTCATGTATGGACAGAAGGCCCGATGGTTCTCAATCAAGTTGAACGCTCGAATGGTGCGCTTGTGCGTGATGCCAGCAGTGTCTGTGCAGCTTGCAGTATTATCCGTGCAGTTGGCCCTATCTTCATCGTCCTCCGCTGGCGTGCGCTCCTTATCCAAATGGGCCAAGTGGGGGCCTGCTCTCAATACATAACAATCATGCGCACCTCTGCTGAATAAATTTTCGTCCTCTGTGTAACTAGTCACCTCGAGGAATATGCGGCTAAGCATATTCTTGAATTGTACTTTTCTCTTTATTCTTTTCTTTACACGCAGTGGGTTCCCTTTCCCATTTGGGGTTAATGCGCCCTGGTTGATGCTAGTCGAAGGACATTCACTTGGCGAGACGTCACTGGCGCTGTCGTCCTTACCCGCGTTGTCGGTGCTCTTTTTTGGGAGAAAGAACTGTTTGATGCTCCACTTGAAGGAGAATCCCTCCTGCTCCTGCGCGTTCTCTTGGTGGTCGCCTCCACCATCGGTGGCATGGGCTTCTGAGCCGCTTCCGTCATTGGAGTCGCTCTTCGCGTCGTCGCTTACATGTTCGTTACCTTTCTGTTCTACACCGTTAATTTCTTCCCCCGGCTTTTCTTTCTTCTCCTTTTCTACCACCTCTTTTTCTATGGCCTCTTCTTCTGTTTCCTCCTCCGATTCCTCCTTTTGCTCACCCACTCTTACCTCACTATCCTTTTCTTCACCCTCGTCCTCCTCTTCCATTTCCACCCAGCCATGGGCCAACTCGATGAGGCGTTCCAGCGCGTCGCGCGCCTGGTCTACAGACAGGTTTGCAACCTCCCCGGAGAGCACTATATCGCTGGTCTTGAACAAATCCATCGTGTTGTGGCTTCTCGAAAGGGTAGAATAATCACTCAAGTTAACCTCCCTAAAGCAGTACCTACAGTAGAGGATCTCCGAAGTGACATTTGGGTCCTCCCCCTGAGGATATGTTCTATATGTCCACCCAAACAACGCGATGAGCTTGTAAATATTAACATCTTCGTATTCGCAGTTCTTCAGCTGGTTTACTATTTTGAAGTACATGTTGAGGTCTGCATTGGGATGCCTAGGTTTCTGCGTTGTGCCATTCGCATCTGCTACGATGTTTATGTATGCGTGTACGTCTAGAGGGTCATATGTCAGGCTGTTTAGGAAGGCTTCATCCACAACGTGGTTCTTCAAATGTTTGTAATTCGATCGAATAAGCCGCATTCCTCGGTCGACCAGTTTTTTGTGACTCTTAAATATTTCGATGTAGTGACTCTTGAATAATTCTAGGTAAGAATTGAAAAGCTGAAACTTCTTCTTCGAGTCCTCATTGGTCAGGTGTTTTTTAACAAGTAGGAGCAAGTCGTTAAACGTTTTTTTTATGTCAATATATGGCACATCATGTGTACCATTTTGCAGGAATGTGGTAACATTTTGGTATTCCCTAATTAGGTTGTCCCGTTTTAATGATTCGCCATCGAGATGGAAAATTTGCAGATCCATTAACTTCCCTTTCCAGGGGCAATTTTTCAAATGAAGCAAGCATAGGTCGTTTATTTTTGTGTACATAGAATACGTGTCCTTATCGTACACAAAATTGCATCTACACATTTCACACCTTACCGTAGTTTCATTTTCACATATGAACCCGTTTCTAGCCAAAAGGAGTGAGGATAGATGTGCAGGTTTTTGTACCCATACGTTGTATGTTTTTATTCGATTCACGTAGTTCTCTTCGTTCTGTAAATACCGACGACTGCTCTTCGTGTATTCATCTTCCTCTTCTCCCAGAAATGTTTTCTTCACATTTATGAGTTCCTCATTTGGGGGATCCTGAGGGTCTACCCCAGTCGCTTCGCCTGGGCAAGGACCATTCATCTGGGCTCGTCCTCCAATAATGGACCAGCTCCAGATAAAGCTCTCGGCTAGTACGTAAAGAGAGCAACCTGGTTAATCCCACACAAGAGGATTCGCAAAATATAGGTATTTCTCTACCGCGGTTACGATTGGGAATTCCTACTCATCCCGCGGTTCAATCGCAGTGGCATGTTGGGCTTGTGAAGTTCACCTCTTCTACCGGATCGGGTCACCTACCTTACGCCTCGGCCTGCGGTAATCATTGCTCTAAAAGGAGTCCCTTCCACTCCTCTTAGCTTGTGCACGTTGGGTAGAAAAAACTGAAAAAAAAAAAAAAAAAAAAACTCACATGCTTTTTCTTAAATTCGGGATATATAGGCTCTTGAACAAATTATGCGCGGGTGGAGTATACCTGCGCGTATAGAGGACATTTGGCGGAATAATCAAAAACTGTGGTGCTTTGAAGGGGAACTCGTCGAGAGGGGGAAAAAAAAAATGCGAATGGATGATGTTCCATAGGGAGATTATTGCGAAAGAAAAGGAACCACTTAGCCTCGCCAAGGAAGGTTATGCTACCAAACGAGGGCTCATTGTGTAAAAAATAAATTGCTACCCATCCTCCGTGGTGTATTGTCCGCGTGGGTCTATTGGCCACTTGAAAAAAATTAAGGGGAATAGTTCAAAATGATATCCGCTACAAAGAGGCTACCGTTCACAATGCCTAAAAGCAAGGAGGCATACAAAATGGCCTAGAACACAAGTGCCGTATTGGCACAAAACTTGCTCGGGAGATTGTACTTCACTTTGCACATAGGAGTGACCGAACTGGGGAACACCGATGAAGGCCTCTTTATGAGAAGGCCTTGTCCTTGGTATTTCACCAATCATGGCAAGGTGTTCATGTCAGACAGGACAAACAATACATCTGGAGACTGCTCCTAAAGGATGCAAAACTGAAAGGTGAATAACCCCACCATGTAGCTGTACAAATTATAGCTGATTGTAAGGACAGAAAGTTTTTACCCCGTTGGGGAAATGTAAAGAAGCGGTTGTAAATAGAAGGTACATGTAGCTCAGCTGTGCTTTTTCTGCGTCGTCAAAAGGTGATAGTAACGAACGTTTTGAGGCGTGAAAAAGCTGTGCTTTTTTTTTTTTTTTTTTCGTTCCCGCGCTTTGCGATAAGTACAAACGTCTTACGCATATACGTGTGCGTTGAGAGAAACTGTTCACCCCATGTTTGCGTCATTTTTTGGCATTGTTTTTTCCTGTGCCAAATTCGCCGGTAGCTCTGCGGCTCTACTGTTTGCACCCCCATATTCACTGCAGTAATGTTCACCACGATTGCATCTTTGTCCTTCGTGCGCACGGCTCACGTTCGCAGGTTCAATGAACCGCTTCTTTGCAACTTTCACAAAAAGACGCTTTCTCCTGGTGCAGTCGGAACAGTTGCATACACGCAACGCAGCCACGTGCTTTCGACAGACCATCCTTTGATACACGCCTGCCTCGTACCCGATGCACACATTTACGCTAGTAGTCATAGGACTACGTGCATATCGAAGGTTCTGCAATTGTGGCTGCACGAATGTTGTACACATGGGGAGAACCCAAATGAAAAAAAGCGATCGCTCGTATTTCCCCCCGTGCGGCAATGTTTGCGCGGATTTATTTTCACCTCAGAAAGTGTACATCCATACGACCATGTGGTGTTTGGGATAATGAGGCCACGTGAATATCCACCTCCCAAAGCATGACATCGTCAGGGAACTTTGTATCGCTCCTGCTCTCGGCTAAGGCAGAAGAGAGCACGGGTGCAGACACACGTACATAATGTATACAAGGTTATTCTTTCAAATAATGTTAGGCTTGCCAAGTGGTCGATCAATCAATGCGTAATCGCTGTGTTACGCGTGTTGCGGACTCCCTTGTTTGACGTAGCAGGGAGTGCTCACCGCATCAACATCCGACAAAACGTATTATATGAATAGGCTGCACAGATTCCGCCTCACACATTGCACAATGTAAAATATTCCCACTGCGCGTACGTACGCATGACGTTTCCCCATGCGACATAACGCATACCTTCGGCTACATAAATTTGCTTTGTCATACAGATGCGCATGAACATGTACGTTCATCTATCGTCTGTTAACGTGATGGAGCACAGCCTACAAAAATAATTAATGCGCAGTAATTGCCATTGCAAAAAAAAAAAAAAATTAAAAAAAAAAAAAAAAAAATTGTGCATTGTTCATTGCGCATTGTGATACTATATATTGAATGAACGCTAACCAGAGTGACACTATAAAGAGATTTTCGCATTTGATCAATTTGAATTTTTTTTTTTTTTTTTTTTTTTTTCCTATTTTTTTTGCTTCATTTATATATAACCCAAGATTATCCTCGCGCGCTAATCCAGTATGTTAACTAACTGGTTTCGTGTGATCTCTTTGTTTTAAAGTATGTACATACGTGAAATATGCGAAGGGGGGACTGTACGTAAGTGAGCGTATGGGCGGATGCACGGTACGTACGTTCGAAAGTGCGCACAAGGTACTTTTCGAAAGTACGAATGCAAGTATGTTTGTGAGTGAATACGTATACACGTGCATGCCAGTACAAGCGCATCCACCCTCGCATACGAGTGAACGAACGATTGCGTATGCATATACCCATCGGTGATTGTACCAACCGCAATGTTCCTTTCACTAATTCCTATCCATGAGTGTACCAACGGTCACGTACTGCTCACTCATGCATATTCGCACATGCATACGCACGTGCGCGTGTACACTCGTGCCTTAGCTAATTCATCCGTATGTGCGCATGTGTCAACTTATGCGCCCCTGCACGCATGACTTATTTAAACCTTTTGAAAATTGTGCGAATGCTTATTGGGCCCCTTTATTTTATCAATTTTAACATAGTTCTTCTGGCCCTTGGCCCCGCACGATTCGAAGCACAAGTCGCCGTACAACTGGGCGCACAACCCCCTGTGCGCCTTGCCGTGTATACGCATACACCCATTTGGCTGCTTCCCCTTCACAAATCCGAGGGAGGAGAAGTACCTTGCCCCTAGGTGTGTATGTCTCCACGAACAAGTATGCATGTGTACGGTGGCGATGTTTAACTTATGAGTTGCATTCACTGGGCACATGCAGACAACCCGCATGCCCTATTGCCTACGACAGCGCGGTTTGCGCAAACGTGTGTTTTCGTGTGTGTACAAGTTTACACCGGTGTGCGCGATGCTTGCGCCCAGCGCGCTGGTACACACTGGTGCTGATCGTACCACCGCGCACACATAATTACCCAAAGGCGTGTATACGTGGCTCTCTCGAAGATAACAAAACAAAATATATATATGTATATATAATGAAAATGTAAACTGTTGATCGTTTTCGCTTCTTTTTTTTTTTTTTTTTTATAAAATCATTCAGGGTATATTGAGAAACGAACCCTATGAGAACAATACAGTTTCATGTATAATGTGTTATTCGAATGATGAACATCGTTTGCTTCTTTTCGTGCTTTTCCCCTTTTCATGCTTCTTTTTGTGTTTTCTTTTTTTCCATCAAAATTTTGAATGTAGTGCAAAGCAAAACACGCGTATTCTTCATACAACACTGCGCCGTTGTACCTCCCTATCCAGTAGGGCCACATAAGCAAAAGTCTTTGTTGCACACGCAGTACGTACATGTGTTCAGACGTAATGCCGCAGTTTGAGTGGCGCATTTCCAACAAAGAGTTATCTGCGCTCCTCAATTTTGTACCATGGATAATTCCCCAAAGGGGAACTTCATCTTCTTTCAAAAGAATAAAAGTAATGATAATCAACTGAGCCATAAAATTGAAGACACCATGTATGCCAAAGGAGAGGACAAGAAAAGTGGGAACAGGGGCGGCACAGACAGCAAAGGTGTATCACCTGTGCTAAAGTATCAAGGGGTTAACCTTTACATGAATATTCCACCGAGTATGCTAGATAAGAACATAAGCACAGGCAAAAAATATGATAGTGTGGCTGGAGCCTTGGTGGGCTCTTCCCCTATGGGTGAAAAAACTCCCGACCATGTGCAGAGCATTTTTGCCGAACGGAGCGTCGATATGAAGAACATACCCGGAATGCAGGAGAAGGAGACCCCGGGTGGGATAAGTAGTTATGCGGTTAAGAACTACAAGGTTAGCGGTCACGGGATGAACATCCACGCGGAAAGCTCAAAAGAACCCCCTAAAAACACACAGCAGTTTAAGCCCAAATTTAACAAAAATAAAAAAAACCAAGCCAAGGACGACAGCAACATGAACAACATGGCGAAAGATATCAAAATTCGAAAAAGCAATATATTAGAGTTGAACAAGTTGCTAAAGGAGAATTTGAGGATAGAGGAAAATTTAAAGAAAAAAAAAAAAGCCAAAGGAAATAAGGACGACGATGAAGACGACAACGACGATGAGGACGATGAGCAGTATGACCAGGACTACTACCAGATGTGGGGGGATAACGCCAGCAGGTACGCTCTTCGACAAAATGCTCGCGATAAGGTAACAGCAGGAGAACACCACGGACATATACCGAAGAACCTGAGTAGCCAAGAGGAAGGCTCTGTGGAAGACAAGAGAGACAACGGAAAGGACAAAAAGGAAAAGGCGAAGAGAAAAAACAAGGAAAAGAACAAAGACAATAAAGGGAAGGGGAAAAATGACGAGCGCGAAAGGGAAAAGGATAAGTTAATTTCTAAGGGAAAAGTGAAGGAGCTTGACTCCAACGAGCAAGGGGACGGCGACAAGAAGAAGGAGCACCTTCCGATCAGCAACCAAAATAACATCCTGAATAGCAACATGAATATAATCATCAACAACAACGCTAATAGCAATCCAAGTAACGCCCCAAGCAGCAACATTAATGTAATGCTGGGTAGCGGCTTGAATAGCGGATTGAATAGTGGTCCGAATATCATGCTCAATGTGGACAACAAAAACACAGGAAAGAATAAAAAGTCCAAGAACAAGAAGGGGGATCAGCACCAAGACAAGAAAAACGAGTCGCCGCAAAATCGAAAAAACGAAACTGGCCAGAACAAGAAGAACGACTCGCCACAAAACAAGAAAAATGATTCTGCACAAAACAAAAAAAATGAAATGATGCAAAATAAGAAAATGGATTCCCCGCAAAACAGGAAGAACGATCAGGAGGGAAACAAAAAAATGGAGTCTCCACAAAATAGAAAGAATGATCTAGGACAGAATAGAAAGAACGAATCAGGGCAGAACAAAAAAAACGATTCGCCACAAAACAAAAAAAATGATTCTCCTCAAAACAGGAAAAACAAAAGGGAAGAGTTTATCACAGGTGCTAATGCAAACTGCCTGCTGGGACAAGGAGATGGGAAAATGATCAAAAATGAGTTACTCATGGAAAGTAGTGTGATTGGAAAGAATAAAAATATGGAGAGCTCGATGAATTTGCCATCACACTACAGTTACTATTACAGCAATAACAATAGTGATATCCCCATCATGAACAACTCCAGACGGGGGGCATTCAATAAAGTCCAAATGGATCTCTACTGTGAAAATAGTGGGAACTACATGATGGACTCCAGTGACAACAAAAGTTTCAACTATAAGAAGGAGCCTCGAAATGATATGTTCAAGTTGGGCAATAACAACGTTGGCAGCGCTAGTGGCCACGGCAGCGACTCCGGTCCTGTTGGAAGTGCAGGGAACCATGGCAACCTTGGGGGACTATCCCTCAGCGGAAAATTGAACATGAGTAAAAATTTCCAAAAATCGCACGAAATGGCGAACTATCATTTTCAGGATTTAAGCAGCACGTATGACAAGTATAAGGGCTCCTTGGACCCCAGCTCCATGTCTGAATTTCTTGACCAAGAGACGGGCAAGAGATATATCCACAACAAAGGATGGAGCAGCCACAGTGAGGTAAAAAATGTCAAAGACAACAACGTCGTGAACATAAAAAATACTAATGTTATTGGCACCAACAGAAACAATCATATGAACCCTAATCTGAGCAGTAAGGATAATCGGCTCGGCATTACCAAAGGGAGCGATAAGAGAACGCCTAGCAATATTATACACCCCAATACCAGTCATGTAGGGAAAAAATACACGAGTAACAAAAATGTGCAAGGCTTTAGTAACAAAATGAACTTCTCCAGCGATGGAATCGATGTAGGCATCAGCTCCAAGATGAATATTTTTAACAACGCAGGTGATATTGGGCGAAATGCTCTAGGTGGAAGCAATTCGGGGGGGAATAATATGTGTGCCTACCATATGGTTAGCCACCACGTTGGGAGTAATCATCTTGGAAGCAATAACATCGTGAGTAACCATCTAGGAAGCAATAACATAGGGAGCAATCACCTAGGGAGCTATAACATCCCCAGCAACGTAAGCAGCAGCAACTTGGGTAGTAGCAACAGCGTGGGCAACGTACTGAAGGATGAAAGCCACCTATTGGGGAGCAGAGGATCATACAACAACATGCTGAGCAACAGCGGCATGAACCCTATGTTGAACGGAGAAAATAATAATTTGCTCAACAACAACTATGCGAATGTTGCCAACGTCCTAAACAGCAATAATGGCATGGTTGCCAATGGGAACAAGGTGTACAACACTGGGGGTGGTGAGGGGAACCTTAACGAGAGCATGAATAATGTAGGAAACTTAAACGGAACCACCTTCCAAACGAACAAATCCAACTCTAGCGTAAATAATAGAGTAAACAGTAGCAAGAATCACATGGGTGACTTAGTGAGTGGACAAAACTGTGTGAGCAATGTGTTACTATACGATAGTGCAAGTGTTATGTATAATGGAAAGGTTGGAAGCATGAATGGCTATTCAAGGCATAACATAGCGCACTTTTCCGGACAGACCTTGGACAACTACACAAACCAGAGCGTGGATAATTATGCCAACCAGAATCTGGATAATTACGCAAACCAAGGCGTGGACCATTATGTGAACCCTAACATGGACAACTATCTGAGCCCCAACATAGACAACTACCGGAGTTCGCATTTGGAGAATTATGGCAGCTCCGTCATGGAAAATTACATAAACCCAATTATGCATAACTACGCGAACCCAGCCATGGATGGATATGCCAACTCGCGCATGGATAACTATGAAAACCCGAGCGTGGACAACTACGCCAGCCCAAACACGGACAGCTATGTGAACCCTAACGGGGATAATTATGCTAACCCTAACGTGGACAGTTACGCGAATCCGAATGTGGACAACTATCCAAACCAAACCATGGACAACTACGCGAACGTTGACAGCTACGCGGGACCCCACATGGATGGTTACACCAGCCCTCACATGGACAACTTTGTCAATCCGCTCATGGACAGCTACATGAACCCTAACATGGACAGTTTTGCTAATCAGAATCTGGACAACTACGGTGGCCAGAACATGGGCAGTTTTGCCACCCCTAATGTAGAAAACTTTGCTGCCTCCAGTGTGGACAATTTCGCTTCTCCCAATGGGGAGAGTTTGCCCCCACAGAACGTGGAGAACTTTGTCGGGCCCAACGGAGAGTCCTACCCGCATGGGTACTTGAACAACCTTCCTATGAATTACATAAACGGAGGAATGACATCGGCACTGAGCAACAGCAGAGGTACATCTTCTATAAACAACATTACTCAATACTCGAACGAGCTTAACAACACATCTTCGAACATGATGAACAATCTGGTAGGTAAGAAGAATAACTTGGTACTGAGTGGCATGAACAACACAGTGAGCAGCTCCAAGGGAAACTTCGGCATGAATTACATCAATGATACGTTTAAGAAAGCGTCCAATTTGTTTTTAAAAACTGTTATGAGGAGGGTGGGAAGAAACGCCAGTGGAAATAAAGTAAAAAGAAACAAAAATAAAGAGTTGCTAGAAACCAAAGGTGGAAAGTACGAATTGACATCACCATCGAATGAAGGCAATGGAAGTGGCATTATGCACGATAGAGGGGGCCTCAACTATGTACTAGAGGACCCTCCTCCAGGAAGAGCCAAATATGGACATAATGGGAAAATGGCAGAACGGATCAGCGTTAACGATCCTGCGAGTGCATTGACAACTGCCATCGCAACTGCTATCGCAACGTCCACCAGTGGGGTAGGCACTAGTGTCCAACATATGAAATGCCTAGAAAAATACGATACCATAAAAAAGAAAGTAAAGAAGGAAAAAAGGACCCACGTGAAGAACATTAAAATAAATATAAACAAAATTAACCTCTTCGAAAATAAAAAGAAAAAATATTTGGCGGAAATTATCAGATGCGAACTTATATGGGGACCCACGAAAAATAAAGAACCCATAACTCCAGTGGAGAATTGTGAATTACACCCTGTTGTTATAATAAAAGATCAGTATGGACATCTGTACGATGATGATGAAGACAATGAGAACAATCCCATAGGCAAAACTGTTAATATTTTGTACAGATGGAGTAGAGGACCTCCTCGAACCGTTTGCTTCTTCCACCCACAAAAAATTGCTTGCTTACAATGCACCGTCACATTTAGATGCTTCTGTTCCTATGAATGCTTCATGAAAGGATTCGATCACTTGCACAAGTATTATCGGAGCAATGGTGTCATTAATATTCCTTCTCACCCAAATCTGCATACCTATGGTGTCCCGTGCTCACCGTTCGATTGGGATAATTATGAGAACAATATCGAGTTTGATGAGAAGCACTACAACTCGCTCATACAGTCTGGGTTGCTCAACTCGCCGGACATGGAAACATGGGAAGTAATTAACAACGAGAGGAACTACATCCCGTGCTTGAAAGATGTGGGGCATCAAATAATGCTGGAGACTCTGCTGCTCGATAAAAATAGCATGTCATCAGAGAGCGACACGACCAGCTCTGACGAATGTGATGACAACAGTGGAGATGTTAGCGAGGTGGGAAAAGTTGGAACAGTTGGCGCAGTTGACGAACTTCGTAAGGGAGATGTGCGCGAAGGAAGTGATTGCAACCTGTCCTCCGCCGACGAGCACAACCTACGGAAGACGCAAAGCGTAGCCGCATGCGCGCGATATGCAGGTGTGCAGCGGAGCGAGTTGGATGCGACGAACGCAGACCAGATGGCAAGCTTCAATGGTATGCAGTATGTTGGTAGCCATAAGGATGAGGACCCCTATTGTGGGCAGCTCACCGACGAAAGCGGCATCGTCAGTGGACGGGAAGATATGCCCAACCGGAACGATGCAGGCACCACTGGTGTGTTCTCCTCAAAGAGGGACTCCTCGACGGAGGCAAACGCGAAGCAGCCTTTGCATATTGACGGCATGTTGATTGAGGACAATAATGTGTGTAGCTCACCAGCAGAGGAGGGCATGAACCAAACCAAGGAAGATTACACAAGCAGGAGTGCCCTTAATCACAGCGGAAATGAAGAAAGCGAAGGAAATGAAAGGAAAATGAACAGTTTTGGCATTACTTGTATGGGCAACGAGGGAGACAAGGATGCGCTTGTGTGCAACGATGAAGTGAAGCGTGTACAGAGTGGAGAACAACAGACGAGTGGTTTAACCCGCCCGAGTGCTGACTCGAAGGAGATGAAAGTAAGGACGCCTGCAAATGGATGCTCTGGAGAAAACGTCCAGGATACACAAACGAATGAGGATGACAGAAGTGGCATGTCGAGTAGCCCAAGTAAAAGCGCAACGGCCGAAGTGGACGGTAAGGCCGACACGGAAAAGCACACTCTCCAAGGGGAAACGAAGAAAATCCAGCCTACCCAGGAAAACGCACTTCAGCTGAAGAAGAAGAAGAAGCGGAAAAAGAAAAAAATCTACCTACTGGATGACCAAGTGTGGAACAACATAAGGGACCCCAACATCTATCACAAAATAATCACAGGGTGTTGCATCCCTAACGTAACTGTCTCCCCGAACTATAACGTAACTTGTTTTAAAAACTCCAATGTGACGAATCCGAACAACCAGTTCACCATAATGACGTGGAACGTTCTGGCCGAAATCTACGGCACGGTCGAGGCCTTTCCTCACTGCGACCCGTATATGCTCGCCTGGTCCTATCGCAAGACAAAGATCATTCAGGAAATTTTGAATAACAGTCCGGACATCGTCTGCCTGCAGGTGGGTCCTTCGTGGTGATTACCGTTCCCCATTAACCTGTTTCTTATTAAACCCGTATTTTCAGTCCTTCCCCCTCCTTTTTTTTTTTTTTTTTTTTTTTTTTAACCGCAGGAAATCCAGAACGAACACTTCCTGGACTTTTTCAAACCGTCCCTGGGCGAGTTCGGCTACGAAGGTGTGTACAAACAAAAGACGAAGGAAATATTTACTTCTCCCTCGGGAAAGAGAAGAGGAGGAAAGTACACCATAGACGGATGCGCTATATTTTACAACAAAAAAAAGTTGAAGTTTGTGGAGACCTACGCCTTAGAGTTTAGCAAGCTGATCAAGGAGGCCTCAGTATTTACATTGCCAAAGGACATTCAAAAAAACCCATCATTGGTGAAGAGACTGTTAAAAGATAACGTGGCCTTGGTCATACTGCTTGAGTACATACAGCAGTATTCAAAAATGTATGACAATAAGGAGAACGAAGAGAAGGAAAAACCGAATAAAAATCTCATCATAGTTGCCAACACTCATATTGTAGCAAACCCGGAAGCCAATTACGTGAAAATTTGGCAAGCACAAATATTGGTCAAAGTCGTTGAATACTTGAAGATAAATTTTATAAAAAAATATGAAACCGTTCCGAGCTTGATTATATGTGGAGATTTCAACAGTACCCCTTCTAGTGCCGTTTATCAGTTGATATATAAAAAAAACTGCAGCAGGAGTCATGAAGATTTCAGTTCAGACAAGTACAGTTTGCTGACAGATCTACCCCTTGGCCATAATTTAAATTTGAAGTCAGCTTACGCCGTCTCTAAGTTACTATCCCAGAAGCTTAGCCCTGAAGATTATACTTCAAATTTGGAGATCTTCGAACCGTTGTTTACTAATTACACCGGGAACTTCATAGGGTGCTTGGACTACATTTTTTACAATGACGAAAACTTGAATATTGTTTCCACCGTCAACATTGCTGACGAGAATCAGCTGATGCAAGAGGCGCACATTTACCAGCTGTCTAATTGCGCCCTCCCGAGTCCCATTCGCCCCTCCGACCACTTACCTCTCATCGCCAAGTTCGAGTTCAAGATTTACTGAAGTGTGGGCGAGTGGCTGGTTCGCATGTTGTAGGTTGTTAGGTTTGGAGGTACAGTACCTCGGCAGGGGCTTCCTCCCCGACCCGGCTTGTGACCTCTCACCTGTCTTTGATGATTCGAGTGAAACCCCCTACCTGTTATGAATATCAAGAAACATACCCAGACGTGTGAATACTATGTGTTGTGTTACCGTTTCGCGCGGAATGCAGTCTTTGGTTCGCGGAACAAGCAGCCACTGAGAAAAAAGGATTCTGTGGCGAGGTACCCCCCAACCCAGGAGAAACAATCCCTTTTTTTGCCCAACCACGACCACCCCAGATTATACAAACCGTTTTCATTTCAAAACCGTCGGTTGGCGAGTTCAGAAGGAGCAACAAATTTTGACCTCCTTGTGAACGTGGCCAATTTTGATGACGCCCCTTTTAGCGCATCAAACTGTGCTGCCGTGTCTTCCACTTCATCCCACTGTATTAATTATTTATTTTTTTTTTTTTTTGTAATTAATTTTATTTACATTATTATAAAATTAATACGCATAGTGGTAAATGCACAGGGATAGAAAGGGCCTCGTGCATGATCACATTTGTACGAATATATGTACATGCACATGGCACGTTTCCACCCCCTCCATCTCCTTGCGCACTTATCACTCCATGTATGCTGCACATGTCCTCCCCTTTTGGCACAACGTTAGGCCTTCTGCCCCTTCGTTTATGCTACATTTTTAAATATAGCTAATTTTAAAGTGAGCGTTATTTTATTTTTTTTAAACAGTTTTTCACGTGTGTTTTTTCTTTTTGAATATGTACACGTACTTCTCCCCGTGTGTGTGTACATAGAATATGTGTATATGTGTTGGTCCAAGTGCAACATAAGTATACGCGCGCGTCCGTCGCTGGCTACCGCAGCTTACATTTGCGAGCCCAGGATGTATTTGCGCACATACATATTCATATCCTTGCATAAACGCAAGAACGTATGTACTTGAATGTCCCTGTCCTTGCTCTTTTTTTTTTTTTTTTTTTCGTTTGTATCTTTTTTTGTGTCCTTATTCGTAATTTATTTGTACCAAAAAGGAAATGCGCATGTATGCATATATGTATATGGGTATATATATGTGTGTACGCATGTGTATGTTTTTTTTTTTTTTTTTTCTTTTTCTCTATAAAATTTTTTTTATAAATGAATTGTCCCATATCCGCTTAAAAAAAATATAAAAAGTGAAATGACACCTTGTAGGCTCGTATTGATACGCGGTTTCTTTTTCAGCATGCAGATGGTGTGATATTAAAACGGCGCATGGTGATGCGAAGGAAGCCCCAGGTGTTTGCAACATACGAGCACATCAGTGTTGCTTTACCACTCGATGGGTACCTTCTTAAACAATATCCAGTCTACACGTCCCATCCACTTCGACGCGGCATCACACTTGGATGGAGAATTTTCCAGAAGTGTTATGCCATCATTCCCATACACCAAATTGGATAAATGGGACTTGGTTATTTTTTTTACAACCCTAACCAGGTTGACAAGGATTTGTCGAATCATGTGACATGACCCCTGCTCTTCCGTTGTGTGAGCTAACCATAAAGGTGTGGCATTTCCATTACCTCCTTTGTTAGGGGAACCATTGAATACAACTACGGTCATGCACGAGCCACGTGAACAACTTCAACAATTACAAGAATAAATCAAAAAAAAAAAAAAAAAAAAAAAAAAAAAAAAAAAAAGGTAACAGCTATTTTGCCTCTTTGATAAACAAATCTATAAAATATGCCAAACACGCGAGGAACCCTATTAAGCGAAAAGCTATCTTCATAGGCGTCTCATGTAGTGTTTCACGGAGTTCGTTCCGTTAACTTCATTTGGAGGGAGCCTCCAGCCTCTACCCCAATAGGGAGTCAATGCACCTTAATCACTGCGCGGGTCGGTACATCGTAAAGGCAGTCCTTTTATAACGAAGCTCATTTTAACGCTAACGCACCATGGAACAGCAGAAGCGCAAAATTGCGCTCAGGCAAAAAAATGGGAAACCAAAAATATATGGCATCTTCTGTTCACTGCGCAAAGGCCATAATTTGTTCCTCTAAACAATGTATTAGCAATGGGTTAGCCGGGTGATGACCAGTTTTGACGTGCATTCCAAAATTGTATACCATTATTGTTCCACCCCTGTATAAAGTTTTTTTTTGTTGTGTTGGGGGGGGGGGGGGGGAAACTGCTGAGTGCAAATAAAAGAAGCCCTCCTGCACTTCATGACGGGATATTTTCCACGGACTTTTTTTTTTTTTTTTTTTTTGGTAAGGCCGTATATTTGAAACAGCCGAAGGGTACAAGGCGCAGGAAAAAAAAAAGGTAGGATTTAGGTCGCCTGCGACTTCGAGGCGTGCATAGGGGGGTGGTGTATATTTATAAATAGTTACTTATCACCCGATTATAGCTAATCGGGCTTACGCATAAAAAAATGTATGTATGCTGATATTGACGGGGTGATGGATAATTCTAGCCTTCCATGCTACCTATGTTACTTATGCATATATATGCCGTCACGTTCACATGGCATAGTATTTTTTCCCCAAACGAAAGTTTACATCAGCGCACGGTCGGCTTACTTTCACGTAGCACCGGCAGAGGGAAAGGTAAGCAAAAAATAAACAATGCGCCTATGCTTTGTTGGGCATTTTTGCACGCTTCTATGAGAACAAAATAAAAATAAAAACAGCCAATTTTTTGTATAAAGGCGACACTTTTATTTTGGCGAAAATTGTGACTCATTCAACATTTTACGTATGCTGCTGCAGATGCTACTGAGTAAACGTTGCAGATAAAAAAAAATAAATAAAAAATAAAATGAAACAAAAATAAGTAAAAGAAAAAAGAGAAAAAAAATAATTACGCATTAACGAGTTAACGAAACAAACATTTAGTAACTTAACGATTTATCGAGTAGCCAATCCAAGCGAAAGATATTATAAGAAGTAAAACCCATTCGGGCGAAATACCAAACATACAAGTTCTCGCGCATCCTTAAGCGGTCCTCCAACTTCCGGGGGATATGTACACTGTATTGTTCCTGTTGCGAAATCTTCGTTGGAACGGTATTTTTATTTGTTAAGTTTTATCGCAATTCTGCTAGCATCGCGCTAAACGAAGAAAAACAAAATGGCGGAACAATTCACAATTCGTGTGAAGAAATATATGAGCAATCCCCTGCTGCAAAGGAAGCAGTTCGCCCTGGAAATACTACATCCCAACAAAGGCTCAGTGTCGAAAAAGGACGTCAAGGAAAAGTTAGCGAAAATGTACAAGCTGAACAATGTTAACACAGTTGTACTGTTCGGATTTAAATCCCTATTCGGTGGTGGAAGGACCAAAGGGTTCGGCCTCATATACAACAGCGTGGATGCTGTTAAAAAGTTTGAGAAGAAATACAGACAAATAAGGGAGGGATTAATAACCAAGGAGAACAAACCAGGACGAAGGGCTGCCAAGGAATTGAAAAACCGAAGAAAGAAGGTATGCTTTTTTTTTCCGACATGTGTTTTGCAAAGCGGTTACGCCAATGTATCAATTTGCACGTGACGCATGTGTCAGCCACGTGGGGCGTGCGTAGTCATTCGGGTGCGCATCCAGCGCCTAGTGGCCAACTCAGTTGTGTATCCTCGGGACTGTCCGACTGTGCAACTGTGAAAATGTGCCCTATGCAACTTTTGTTTTCTTCCCTTTTTGTGCGTGTTGTTTGTTTTGTTTTTGACTGACGAGGCAATATTTTTTTTGCACATATTCTGGCCCACCCACTAATTTATTTTTTTTTTTTTTCCCCCTTCCACCAGGTACGTGGCACTGCCAAGACAAAGGTTTCAGGAGCGAAGAAAAAGTAAACGCATGTGTCCCCTCACTTTTGCGTATTCGTACTTGCAACGTTATGTGTTTCATTTTAATAAAGTGACACAGTCAAATATTTATGATTTTTATTTTATGTCTCCCTAATGCCTTTTTTTTTTTTTTTTTTCCCACCCACACTTCTTTTTTCTCACCTCTGCCTTGCCACTATGTTCACTATGATATGCTTATCTACTTGTAAAAACAACACACCTCTGCAAAAGCCGTTACGGCTTTCGACATCACGAACAACAAAAAGAGAAAAGTAAAAGAAATTTTTAAATCGCACATGTGGAGAGTACTTCCGATGCGCGGCCCCCAAAAAATGGCGCATCGCATGCCCAAAATGCTGAAGTATCCACAAAGTCCGTGTCATTTGAGAGGTCACGGTGAACGGACTACGTTCTGCATTAGGGTTGATATAGTTGTTCCCCATTTTGCTGAGAAAACGTTCCCCATCGTAATGGAAACCCGTTTAACACATGGCCAAAAACCATGGACATGCAAATACGACACGACAGTCTGCTCACCCAAATGGGCGAGACATGTGCCCGAAATTGTTCATTCAGTTTTTTCCGCGTCGCTGCGGAGCAGTCCAGATAGGAGCTTTACAATTAAGTTCCCTTGCGGGCGAACAAATTCGAAAAAAAACAGAAAAAAACTGAAAAACTCATCACAATGCAATGCATTGCGATGGCTGTTGCATAAAAGCAACGGTTTGTCTCCATCGCTGATATTGACGATGGCATTTCCACAAACGGGAGGTTATGAAAAAACTATGCAGAATTTGAGAAGCCGCTTCTTAAATTTGGTAATTGCGTATTCGGGGGTGTCGCTAAGCTCCTCCGGTTTACCTGCACTTTTGGGAGTATTGCATTCAATCTGCTCTACACCCGCCTCCGCACTCCTTTTGCTGTTGTCCGGGATCTGCGTGTGGTAGGAAGTCAAGGCTAACAAGAGAATGATGTGCCAAAGGGAGTGCTTAAAAAAGGAACGAATGTTCCCCTTGGATGGATTTCGGAAAATAGACTGGAACTTGTAAAATATGTAAACATTCGGTAATAGGGATGTTAAAATATACATGTAGGAAGTATATCCACAAAAAAAAAACAAAAAAGGTAATGATGATAACAGAATTAAGTAAGGGGCACACAACTTGGCTGTATATAATCCATTCTGGTTATCTTGCAAGGGAAACATTTTATATTTCCCTTTTATATAATCGTCTTTATATAAGTAGGCTATCGAGTAGAAATGAGGAAATTGCCACAAGAGCTGTGTAATAAATAGGATCCAAGGTTCTGGGACTAGTAAGTTTTGCGCCACTGCTGTACAACCCATTAGAGTCGGAATTGAACCCACGATTGACCCTATGTGCGTGTTGTATGGTGTTCTCCGCTTTAAGGGAGTATACACACATGCGTAAAGCAATATGTTAAACATACCAAGTACGGCTGTCATGGGGTTATTTAAATGGTACAAGATGGCCGATCCTGTGACGGCTGTCAATGTACCAAACATTTTTGCATTCCTCAAAGACATTTGGTTATTATTACATGCCAGTGGTCTTCGTTTAGTCCGCTGCATTACTTTGTCTATGTCTCTTTCGATTATCTGGTTAAACGTATTGGCACTAGTGCTACAAAGGTATACGCCCATGGCTAAGGAGGCCAGTTGAGTTACATTGGACCCCCCCAACATGAAATAGCCAAACGTGCTACTTATGGTTACCCACAGAGTCAACTTAAACTTTGACAACTCGAGATAACTACTCAAGTGGGTACCTCCCTTCTGACTTGTATGACTGTTGTTTGTGTCCTGCAGTGGTACCCCGCTTTTTATGAATTCCACAGCGCACGCAGCTCTGAATAGAGGGCTAGTGTCCGTCATGGGCAACCCATACTTTTTGCATTTTTGTCCTTCACCCGTAACGTCAATTGAACCTGCGTCGATCTCTGTCACTGGGCCGAATTCAACCTGGATGGAGGATGTCACAGAGGCAGTGTTTTCCTCCACCCTTCCTGCCTTCTTAATTTTTACCATTTTTGCTGTATGCACTCTCATCACATTTACCATTCTGGAGGTACCATTGTGCTTCCTGCCCCCACCATCTAGTAATAAATGCCTGCCACAAAAGTGTACTAACCCTAGTTGGGCACCTGTGTTCGTTGTGTCCTTCCTTTCTGCATGGCTGTCTCCCCCCTTACACGTATAGTTGCGCGTTCCACTATCATCGCACAGGAACAACCTGCATGGTCTCTTAATTATAACAAAATAAGATCCTCCCGATTGACACTCCTTCTTCCCTACATACGTCCTAAGTACACACCCTCTTCCAAGCATCGTTTTCTTCCTATCATTCCGTTAAAAAGAAAAAATAGGGGGGCCACATAAGGAAAATCAAAAAAGGGGGGCATTCTCCAACAAATGCGCCCAATTTTTATATCATTATCGGCTTAATTGAACTGAATAATATGTATTAGCAGGGAGGCGGGTCAAACTTTCACAGGTGTAACTAGTTAATTATTAAACGAGCATGCAGATCATTGTTCGTTTGCTGCTTCCCATGCTGCATATGCTCATAAAAAATGTGCGGCCAAGCACGTCGTGCAAGTATGTAAACACGAGGGGGTAAAGTCATGGAGATTAGAAAAAAAAGAATGGTGAACTTTTTGGAGAATTCTCCCCTAACACAAATACTGACGGCGAAACAGAAATGATATTAAAAAGGATACACCTTTTTTTCTTTTTTTTTTTCTCTCTCTCTTTTTTTAAATTTGGTGTATTCCCCCCTTGGGGCTGCAAAGAGTGAGCATAGTGCATAACATATTGTGCACGGATGGAATAAATGAGTTGCCTATACCAGCCTGATAACAATCACGAAGCATAGTTTTTACGCCAATTCCCTATCACATTTGCGCTCAGGTGAACTGAGAACGAAGAACATCATCAGGCAGACGACCCTTATTGGGCACTCGTCCCACGTGTTGCTCGTTGGACGTTCCCTTATTCGCCATCAACAGCTTCATACCATTTAGTATGAATGAAAAAGTACAGACAATCTGCGCGTAATTTTTTTTTTCGTCCCGCATGGCGATGTATATGCGTGCAACAGGGAAAATCAGTTCCTTTTATCTGCGTCAGCTTGCTTAGCTGCTAAAGTAGGACGACTCATTTTTATTGTTCCGCTCAAACGTAACTTTCTTTTTCAGCGTCACATACTTTGTTTGCTTTCCTTGCCCTCTTTTGTGGCCTCCCAAATAGCTGCGTTGTGAATATGTTTTTTCGCGTAACTCGGTCGGAAGTAACGAATGAGAACATTTCCTGTGCCCCCTTGCGTTCCCATCGCACACCCACATTGACAGCTGGGCATATCTGTATGCCCTTAATTATGTAATCCGCGTCCAGTGGTAACAACGGCAGGTGCTCATTTTTTTTGGGAAATGGGCCATCTGTAGGAACTTGAAGCACATGCCCTACCACACCCAGCACACATCACACAACTGGGAGGCATCCCACAATTGACACTGTTGCACTGCATTATATCAAACCATGTTGGTGGATAGCACAAGTGTATATGGCGTCGATCGGGAGCCCGCCATGATGTCCTGATACGGGTCGGGTAAAAGCAGCGTAGCGTGACCATATCGTCAGCGTGACAGTTCAACGTTTCATTTTGCTTCCCTTTTAAGCGTTACGCCGAATGGCCGCCTCATGCGCAAAGTCACACGTGAACTGATGCAGGTAGCGTCACACATATAGTCACAGACCAAACTGTTACGCCCAATGCATACACACGGGGGCCCGAATTTGTTACATCCACCATTGCGTATGAGAACATTTGTACTGTTATGCTTCGTCTTTCGATTGATGCACAGACAAATGTACGTGCAAAGGAAAAGGAGAAAGGGAAAAAAAAGCATTAAAACGGCTGTTAGTTCATGGTAGTGCTGGGTTAACAGTGCAGTATATTTTTACCAAACTAGGGAGTTCATGCGACGGTGCAACCACATATTGTGTGTGCAGCTTTCTGTAAAGGTACGAAATGGTGGGTAGCAAACATGGAAAATGAAGTGTTCGTGGTTACTCACGGGCACGATTTTTTTTATATATTGTTTTTCCTATACACAAGCCTGTACACATTACAAGAAGGAAAAAAATAGAAACGGTTTGGCAGTTTTTTTTTTTTTTGTTTTTAATTTATAATACGTTCACTTTGCCTGAACTGGAATGCACAGCTTTACACCCCAGAAGAAAAAACAAAACAGTCATATGTGATTTTGCGGAAATCTATCCGTAGGCTGCCCTTCGAACAAGAGTTCGCTTCGCTTCTCTTCATTTTGAACCATCACAGGGTGGGTATAGCTGCACAGAATTTCGCTAAACACAACGTTAGTGTGAACATGTGTTGTTTGGCACCCTGTGTTGCTGAAACAAAAGCATGTCGGACAGGAATACACATAACGTTTTACACTTGGACGTTAAGGAAATATGCGTTTTCTTGATGATAACGACATACGACCTCGATCGCTTAGGGCGCAGAAAAGAAGTACAATTAACGGAAAGGACGTGAAGCCAAGTTGGCTACCTTTAAATTGACAACATGGAACCACGATGATTAAGGTCACCGCTCACAGAGGCGAGTGGGGAAATGTGTAGTAAGTACATGAACAAAGTACGCATTCAATTGTGCATATTTAAATCCGCCCTGTGTACGCTTCGACCTAGGCATATATACATATGTTCGTTCAAATGTGTCATTTGAGGCAGGATTAAAAAATGTTCCTCTGTCGACCGTTTGATCCTGTTCATGGGAGATGCTTCACCCGTATTGTATACAGGTTTGCTTTCCCTATTTAACAGTCATTCCGTTTGTTTATTTTCCAAGAGCAATTATTGTAACATCCCAGGATGGACGTGCACAAAATTATGTTCATATGCCTTATGCGAAATGTACACGCGGGAATGTTAACATAACTCTACCAATTTGGGCGAAGGCAAAAAAGGAGTTTTTTTTTTTTTTATTTTGTTTCTTTTATTTTTTTAGTTCTTGTAACTAAATTGTCTGTACGGGTGGGAGGCGAACATTTTTTCGTCCAGTGGAACTCCAAGGGAACAAAAAATGAATAAAATAAAAAGGACACACGAAACATAAAGCACAGAAACCGAGGAGGTACACAGATGGCACTTTCCACTACATACATTTGGCAACATGTCATTTGAC